CCCAAGGCCGCTAGAAAGTATCTGTGCCTATGCAAGACAGAAGCAGAAACTCCCCTGGGCAACCGGCCATTTGCCCGCTACACACCTGCTTCTCCTCACAGCTGTTGACCTCGATTCAACGTCTCGACTTCCACAGCTCTGGTTGAATGGATGCGATTTGGGCTTCGCTCTCTTGCGTCTGTTACCGGCGATGTACACACTGGCAAAGTGTCGCAAACTGTGCGCCCTGGCTGAAGGTTGGGTCGGGAACGTTGAACTTCCATGCAACTACTCTATTCTAATTTGGTGGAAGGTGCCTCCGACCTTCTGAGCCGCAAGCCCCGTCGCAGTCCAAGTTGCATCGAACAACCCAAGAAGCCTGCAATGAGCAGTTCGCTAGCATCGAACAGTTGCTTAGTCCTAGTCCCCTCCTCGGTCGGCCGCATGACTGCCAACGCAGCGGCAACGAAGAGGATCTGCTTCCCCTTTGCAAGCAATATTGAGCTGATACTCCGCCCTTGACGTCGAGACCTTGCTGGCAACAACTTGGGGAGTGGCTCTGGAGCGACATAGCTGCCAGCAGCCCACCATTGTTGAGAAGAGGAACACTGTCTGTGTGCGATGTTCGGCACGCCAGCTAACACTTGTTGGCTAGCAGTATTCACTATTCACCATGGAGACGTTGTATGCGAAAACATCGTCTATTTTCATCAAAGCTGGGCTCGCTGGGAATGGGTGGTGGATTACTGTTCTCTTCAATGTGCTAGTATACAGGAGGCTTTCAGACCCTCCTGGGCGTTGATCCAAGAAGGGAGCAAGGTCGAAAGAAGATCGGTAGTCTGGTCCGCTCGGTGAGTTCAAGTCTCCATTTTTGGCTCTGGCTGATGGACAAGTTTCGTGGTCGACTTGCCCCGAGGCATCCCCACATACACGACCGCACCGTGGCGCATGCATTTGGGCTAAAATTCTGTGAACTGGACGACTGTGATTCGTGACTGTAGAAGTGCAAACCAACCCCAATCATGATCCAGGGGGCATTTGTTGTCAGATCTTAATGGCTCACCGCTCTTCAAGCTGGTTTTTGCCGCTCTTGAACAGAAACAGGGAACCGACCACCTGCCTCTCTTTACTGATCGTTCAACTAAGTCCTAGATTCCCTGCGCTGGACGCCCTAAACCTCAAAC